GGTTTAAATGTGAAGCACATGCAACTAGTTTTTGCAAATATTCTTAACTAAGTGACATTAATTAACTTAACGTTTTTGTTAACTACATGAGTCGAATTTGAATCATGCCGACTAGCTTTCCGGTGATATAAGTCTATCCAACTAAACTAAAACACTTAATTAGCAAATGAATAAATTTTGTAAAATACTTTCTTGAAATGTAAATTGGGTATTGTTCTTGAATAAGAAAGAAACAAAACAGGTTGTCCAAAAGAGTTTAAACAGCTGGCGAAGATTGGCTGTCTCTTGGCCCAAACTACATTGTTGTCTTTCTCAACCACTCTGTTCCTTCTTTACAACCTCACCACTCATTCATTGCGTACTCAAATCTATTATTCTAATATTAACATTATTTTGGTTATAGTAAACATTTTTTGTTTTGTTTTGGGTTATAGTAAATATGATCTTCTTCTTCTAATTCATACGGTAGATTAGACCAAAATATTGCTTTAAACATACGTAAATTGTATGTAAACTCCGTGTTTTAGATTCTAGAAGATGTCTTTGCCATTCTATATTCAAATACGATTCTTCTTATAATATGGTTTAAAGAAATAAATCCGATGATAAAGTCTACGTTAAACAAAAAAAATATCTAATGCTTTTTTCCCTTTTAATTATTACTTCTCTAGCCTTTCTTATTCATTGTATCTAGCTTTAGATTATAATATATGTATGATCTCCACATTTAAACTTTGGGTTTGTCCTGAAAAAAATATTTAACTAAGATTGTGAACCTAAAGATAGCGTATGAACACTCACTACCTAGTATGAGAGGAAATTCATGAATTCAAGGAAGGGGATTAGTTATATAGTTTCCTTGTGGATTTTGTAATTTTTTATAGAATTCTAAAGTTGATTGCGTAACTAAAGGATCAATTAGCCGTTTTAGTGTTTCGTTGAATTGATTATGATGCTTTCCCCAACGTTCATATCATACCAAACTGTGAAAATGACCAACCACCCCCTTTCCCAAGATCTTTATTTCACACCTGTTTAAGTGTTTATAGTTTCGTCTATTTTATATGTCGGCCATATATTTGTTTAGAATCATTCATATTTACTATTGAAACGGCTTGTTTATTTGTTTTTCACTATACAATATATAAAGAAACTAGCCGGAAAGCAACATGCATTATTATAAGCATGAGAAGTTTCACTATAATGTGGCCCCAACCAATGAAACTAATTGTTGTTCTTTCCCCATGTTCCAAAACAAAACGAGTTGTTCTTTTTCCATTTTGCTTAATATAATACTCTATGAATTAATATTCATGAAATCTGTATAGATATATAATATACTCTTTTCAATTTCACGAAGATTGGGTTTTCAGCTAGTTCCAAAACAAAATTACGAGTTGCTCTTTTTCGATTTGCTAAAAATACTATATGAATATATAGTCATGAAATCTATAAAATAATGCATTTTGCATTGGTTGGGGCCACACTTCCACAAGAAAATGTTTTTTTTTTAATTCTCTTTCATTTTCCTTTAAGTTTTTTTAATATAACATTTTCATTTAAGTTTCAAACATCAAACTTTAGCGACCGCTGCTGCTAGATGACTACAAAGTTATAACAATGTTATCATTCACTTTTACTTTGAAAATGGAACGTTGGTGGAGTTTGAATTTAGTTGCTCTTTATTTCGTTAAAAAAATGAATTGCTTTCTTCGACTGTATATTTTTATATATAACATTTTTCCAATTATCTTTTGTTATGTCAACTTGATTATTTTGTCTACTAGATTTTGACACACGCCAAGCGTGAGATTAAATATTGAAATATATTTTCTAATTGATCTTAATATTTATATGTCTTGGAGAATTCCAAAAGTTAATGCAAAAGTTATTTATTTCAATTTATTTGAAATTTTTGAATTTTATTATTTGTATAAATAGTAGAGTATGCGATAAATTAAATAAATTTTAGATTTATATAAATTTGTTGGACGTAACAAACAATAATATATGTTTTCTAATAATAAAATGTAAAAATATTTGTAAGTGTAGTTTTTTTTTTTTMTTCAACGAAGATATTTCATTCCATACTCAAAGAGTTTCATCATACATAGTTTTCACTGTCCTCTTAGCAAGAGAATCCACTAATACATTGTTTGTTCTAAGCACATGACGAAATTCTATAAGCGGAAACAGAGGAACATAAGCTTTGATGTCTTGGAGAATTCCAGAAATCCCTTTGATCGGATGGGGAGAGGCAATTGCGTTTATAAGAACCAGAGAGTCTGAATGCATAATGATCCTCGAAATACCTCTCTCCATTGCCTTTTTTATAGCCAATCGCATCGCAAGAGCTTCAGCCATTAAGGGCGAATTAACGAATTGTTCTGCTTGAGAGCCTTTATCGAGCAGTGTGGTGTTGGCGTTCGATGCCTCGCTGTGATGAAAGGTCCATCCTAGCCCAGCTATTTGGTTCTCTTCGTGCCATGACCCGTCTGTGTGTCCAATAACGGTGTCGTCCGGAATATGTCGAGGTGACAAGCTGCCTCTAAGCGCCACATTAACGCCTCTTTCTTTGGTTTGTGCCATTTGCCATTCCCGATCATCACTCACTGCCTTGTTCACTGTCTCTTGATCAGTCGGTGCTCTGTTTTCAAAAATTGCTCTGTTTCTTGATGACCAATAAATAATATTGTTACAAATATAATAATAAAAAGTTTTTTTAATATATCAATTTTTTTTTTAAAATAGATGATATAGTAAGTCTAAATATTACATTTAGTTAAACTTAACTCTGTAAAATATATATTAATGGATTTATGTTATAAAATTAACAAAAAAATATATAGAAATTTTTACCATAGCATATAGTTTTAATTAAAATATGTTCATTAGTTAATTTAAATGACATATTCCTTCAAACCCTCATTGAATAATACATATGATTTTTTCACCAAATGTCTATTCAATTAATATGTAGAGGATTAGTGGCATTTTAAAGAAAATTTTAAAATGATGACATTTTTGACATTTCTAATAAATTATCTGCATTTTGTTTAAGTATCATGCAAATTAAATTTTGTTAGATAAAATATATTCATCAATATATTATCTATACTGGAGATATATCTTTATTATTTTTAATTTCTCCCGTATATAAAAAAATCATGAAATTTTTTTTGAATATTCTAATCCTGTATTTAACGCATGTCAAAAAATATAATAGTCATTGAAAAAAATAAAGATATTCTCACATATACTTTATATAAATTAAATAAAAATTTTCATATTAATTATCACATATTCTTTACTTTCATATTTTTTAATAGTTATATATTGTATATGGGATATAAATTTAGTCTAATTATTTACACAATAATGTTATTAAGAAAATTTAATAGCTTTCCTTAAAAGTTCCTTAAAACCCTCTTTGGATGACAATTATGATTTTTACTTAGTGTCTCCTCTATTAATATATAGAAGATTTAACTTTTGAAAAGATTTTCGTTTTTTTTTTTTAGCTATTCTTTAATTGAATTTTGTTATTTTACGATTCATCAACGGTCGCACAAAAATAAATGGGAGGAAAGAAACCTATATATAACTATCAATTAGTTGCGGTGCCAAACATTCTACCAACGTCTGATATGTTTTTGGTAAAACGTCATCTCATGATATGAAAAATTAACATACAGAATTGGAAGTATACTCTTGATTTCTATCGTATTGCATATGAAGGAGGTTAATTAGCACCTGAAACGCTATGTTGCTTATTTTGTAGCTCATATCTTTTAAAATCGTAACAAGTTATTATATAGTGTAGATAGTTCTATATATTGGTCGTTGATTGACTTTCGAATTAGGAAAGGTTTAAATTGTAGGATTCGAACCTTACTTAGAGAGAATTTCATATGAGATGTGTCCCAAACTTCTCAATTAACCAATTTTTTTTTTTTAAAGGCAACTAGTGGTTTTACACATACAGTATTTGACATTTATTTCCATTGCAGATAAAAGAACCAATACAACTTAAGTAATTTTACAATGGTGCGTGAGCATATGCGCCACTTTGGAAGAGGATCCCACTAGTTATGATCGTTTTATGTAGCTACATTGACCCTAATATGTAGTATATGCTAACGCTTGAAAAGTATTACTAACTAGATATTATCCACGCATTGCGTGGAAT